GCTAGAGTTCTATTTTTCAAGTATGTCGCCGCGCAAATTATTTCGGGCCAAAATCGTTTGTGTACATTTGCCTCTGTTAGTAAGCAGCGTGCCATATCCATTATTGATCTGTTAAATTGTTCCGCGGTACCGTTTAACTCATGTACGTACGCTGGGCAATTATTTAATCTAATGCCTTGTTCTTTTGCAAATGTATAGAAACGATTGTTTAAATATTCCTTTCCATTATCGCATCTTAAAGTTTTTACTCTCTTTTCAGTTATATTTTCACATTCCCTAACAAATCTAATTAAGCAATCAAAAACTTCGTCTTTAGTTTTAATGCAGTAAACTTTGGCAATCTTGCTGTAATCATCGATAAATGAGACGAAATATTTTTCTCCATTAAACCCGGTAGTTTTGAAAGGACCACATACATCGGTGTGTACAATTTCTAAAATATCTTTCGCCCTGTGCCTATTATTTTCAAACGGTAAATTCCTCATTTTGTTTTCTATACAAGTTTTACACTTCATCAATTCCGACTCAAACTCGTTTGGAATTCCTACTAGTAGCTGTTGTTTACTCAGCGTATTAAGATAACCGAAATTTATGTGACTTAACATTTTGTGCCACCTTTCCTTTTGACTCATATTGTTATTCCGCTCGGCACTGTTTACACAAGTCTCCTTCAATTTACTTTTCATTTTATAAACTCTATTCTCTTTGACCGCTACCGCTACGACTTTATTATTCTCATCAATAATCTTTGCAAACTTTCCTTTAGACATAATAGTATTTTTATCAGTTAATTTTCCGTAGCTTATTAAATTTGCATTCATATCTTTTGCGTAAAATACGTTTTTTATATTTACTTGATTTACTTTTCCAAACGCTTTAAAGTACGTTACTACATTTCCTATCTTGGTAGCTTTTACTGATCTATTATCACCTAAATAAATATTTACTGGCTCTTTTAGTTCTATACATTTTTCAAAATAATTTTCATTGTTGACAATGTGATCGGAACACCCGCTATCAAGTAGCCACTCTATTTCGCAATTACGTAACCTGTTTGTTTCTTCGGTGTGTGCTGCGTACGCCGTTGTCGCTACCCAAGCGCTCGCGTCCTTGCTGCTCTGCTCGCTCGTACTTGCTCCATGTTGACTACGTTGTCCTCTGCCGCGTCCTTTGCCATAGCCTCTTGCGGTTCTGCCTCGTCCCCGACCTCGTGTTGAACCTCGCCACGATCCGTCGTTGCGTCCCGCTTGGCCGCCGTCTTGACACTCTCGTGCGAAATGTCCTTTTCTTCCGCATTTGTAGCATCCATCCTTGTTCGCTATAAATGCGTTTGCTGTTTTCTCACTATGATCCTTTTGATTCTTCATTTCAGCTAGCTTGATTTTATTTCTTATGTACTCAGCAGTTTGGTCTTCCTCTTTTAGTGTATCGATTAAGTCGCCTATATAACTATATGACTCTGGCAACGTGTTGATCATATAGTTTAATTTTTCTTTTTCACTTATATTTGCACCCGCGCTCCTTAGATCATTAACCGTCTTCTCGAACTCACTGAAAAATGTCTCAGTATCGCTGTAATTGTTTAATCTCATTTTTTCCAATCGGTTTCTGCACACGATCTGTAGCGCCGTTGACTCCTTCAAATACATACTGTCTAACTTTTTCATTACTTTGTAGGCTGTTTCTTCCTCGCACACGAATTCTAGCTGCTTGTTCGAAATTGCACTATATATGTAGTTTATTGCCTTTAATTCTTTTTCGTCCCCATCTTCTTTGTCTGTAGCTACTTTTTGTCTTGTTATTACCAGGTCGCATTTCTTGAATTTCAGGTACATGATAATCCTCTTTTTCCACATACCATACTCCTGTCCATCGAACACTGGTATCGTAATCTCACACTTGCCCGCCATTTTCTCTTCTGGTTCAATCTCGAACGTTTCTTCGTGTTCGGATTTTACCAACGCCGTCTTCTTTTGTCTCAAGCGTTCCTTCGTGCTTTCGACTCGTTTTCACTTCCGAACTTAACGGGGTATTTTATATTATACACAGGGCACGTGAGAATTACGGGACACTTTTGCTGCAACCACGCTCTGCTACCATGTTAAGAAATTGAGGTTTAGCAGAGAGGACTTTATTTCTTAATAACACTAAAGAGTTTATTTACTACCTTATTACATGACTGTCCGTCTTGACTTCGTAAGCAACGGTTCAAGCCGGAGTGCTCGACGCGAGAGCCTCGCATATTTCGGTGGCCCTCGCAGTCACGTGATACTCACGTACATACAGTGAGAGGGGAGACTTACAGTGTGTCTCCTAAGTGAATACAGGCAAATGTATACTATATTTCAACAAATACGTTAATTGTTCGGAAGCATCATAGATGAAATTGTCCTTTTCGAAATTGTATCCAAATTCTTCCTCTCGAGTTGTCTAACTTGTTTTGTATTCCAAATTTGGCAGATTATATAAACGTTTACAATAAATAGAAAAAAATCTTTTATGATTCATCTTCGTCAACGATAAAAAAAATAAAGATGTTTATTCCAATGAGTTTGCGAGAGTTTCACGTAAAGTCTCCAAACTTTGTTCATTTCTCAGTTCATTCATTAAATCAATTTTGCCGAATAGAGGTAGTAATACCCTGACGTGTACAGAAAGAATTATAATGTTATAAAGTAATATTGTAATACTATAATATTAAAATATAATATTATTAAATTGAAACCGTCTAGTATTTGTTATTTGTTTTATCATGAAAACTTATAAAACGCGCCATTATATAGAATAAACAAATTGTAGAAGAAACCATCAAACTTATGAAAGAAGTTACCTTTTTTCCCTTAAATCATCAAGTTCACCAGATAAAAACGCAGCTAAACCAATCGCTGCATTAAAGTCGTCGATGTTATCTTTTTTTAATTTATGTTCGGCTCTTACAACCAAATCATCATCTACCATAATAGATCTGTCAAACAAAGGATTTAGCACGCCTCTAGGATCTTCATGCCATGTATACTCTGTCACGGGAATTTCCAATTCATCATAGGAATGTGTTAACATTCTAATATTTTCGACATGCCTATTAAAATCTGACCTATAGACTTCCTAAAAATTGAGATTTTTATGTAAACCACAAATTTCCATCCAAAGTGAATGTAATCTTCTTGTTGAGTCGAATTACGATTTATTAGACTGAATTGAAACACAATAACTTTCAATTGGCAATTATAAAGAAAGCATTTATTCACTTACGATAACTTCTATTTCTAAATTTAATCCTTTGATAGCCATTGCAATACCGGTTGTTAATCCACAACCGTTGATCGTCGTCGGTAATATTACTGCATCAAACTTCAACAAATATTCCAGCATTTCGATGCCCAAGGTAGCCTGGCCAATGATCATATTTGGATGATCGTTCCTATCCGATTATTCCATAAGAATAAGAATTTATTTTTCAATTTATACATTTCAATTTATCTGTATATAATTTTTATCTTCTATAATAGATAGTTTTTTCTATAAATTATAAATAATGACTAATGTAAGGACTTCTATCAATGTTGCTAAAAAATGATCTTTTAGTTATATATGTATAAAGAGAGTTATCACTTTTCCATAAGAACTCTAAAATTAATTGTCTATATTTAACGCAATTTGTTTTTTATGTTTTTCTTTGTAATAATGTAATATAATAATGTAATAAAAAAACTCTATGCATATACAGTGATA